AGATCTTTCTACACAAATTACCTGAGCCGGGTTGTTCAAAGCCCGATTATACTAACCCAGGATTAGCGAGAATTTTGATTTCATTTTGTAAGTGTTCTGTTTATATTGTTTGCCCTTCAGTTTTGAGCATGAGTAATCTCAAACTACACAAAACATAAGCGGTGGATAACATTTTTATAGAAGAAAAATTGTTATCCCGGTTAACTTTTAATCCTGGGTTAGCGTTAACCGGCTTTCGAACAACCCGGCCCTGGATATTTGGAAATTCTAAATGCTAGAAACTACATACAACACACTCTAATTCTTGCGAGTGTTCAGCATTCATTTTTTCCTTACATTATATATCAATATGTTTTTGAGAAGCCAGGTGAGAAGAACAAACTGAAAATCATAGACTAATGTCGGGCAGGGTCTTGATGTAGCATCAAATTTAGAACCAACAGTAAAACAAATCGTGGTAACCGAATAAAGAGGATTATTCAGTTTGAGCTTGGAACGGAAAGAATAAAGATGAGCATGGTTTCCACTAACCAAAAAATATAGATGACGAGGAACTTTGCAAGGCTTTCTCCTTTTGTAGTTGCTTGCTTTATCTGGAAGACGTATGGATCGATTGAGATCGAGAAACATATTTTGAACAGTAAGAGCAGACTGTTTGCTCTGAAACCTGTGCTTGTGGCGATTGGTGCCACAGCGCCATTATAACACGGAAAACTGGACGGCTGAGTTGCTATATTTCCTTTTCTTAATTTACCATTTATGTATACCGACTGTCTAAGTGTGTTTTGTGAAATCCAATGAGTTGTCAGGTGACGTTAGTGTAACTAAAATAACTTCGCTTTTGGTTTGACAAGAGGTCATCTGGAACAGACAACAGCGGCGCACTTGTTCCTGTTTTACTTGACTGACTGCAATATACGACGAGCATGAGTCACTCATTATTTGATGAAAGGCTCACCACTTCACAGTGTACTCATCTCATCTGGGTGCTAAAGGCGTTCAAGAACGTCCTCTTAGCTAACTTACATCGCCATGATAAGATAATGAGATCTTTTGATGACTCTCTAACTTCACTTTACAGCACTTAGACCACACCTATCTAGGAGGCCTGTGCTCCAATACACGACTTCGCTACATCCATCATTACTTACGGGCTGACTGGCCATGGACTTTATACAATGCACACCGTGGGTAACTGATAAACACCCTGATAAACTGTTACTTAAGCGGCGACAGCTGCAACTCAGAAATTTCGCTACCCTCCAAAAACCAGTGATAAGTTGTTTGTAGTGTCATCGAACGTCACGTGTTTGAACATTAAAATGAGGGGGAGAGCAGACAAACATTGCAACCACCAATCTGCGCAAAATTATGCCAAGGAAGTGGATATCTATAAATATATTCACCAGGATTGTTGATTTTAGGGGAAGCGAGTTAACGACCCAGGAGGTGGGAAAATTTGAAAACGATTAACCGGCCCCGCCTATCTTACGGAATTTGTACAAGGTGACCAATAACTACACGTTTTCGGTTGAACTGAATTTACAAAAGCCAGAGACAAGGTAAACCATCTTATAGAAAGTGTCGGAAACAATGGAATTCTCTCTGAGGTTTTCCTGAGTTATAAGAGATATGATCGATAAAAACAAACAAACAAACAAGCAAAACTTTACAGCTCTGGAGATAAGTGACGGCTTAACTAGTGTTTAACAACCCGTCTTTGGTAACTTATCAGCTTCTGCGCGATAAACCGTTTTCTACCACTGCACATTACTTTGCGCGACCACGGAAAAAGTCAAATTGCCAGAGTAGCTTGAATAGCTGAAATAACAAGTGTTTGAACTTCAAACACTCCGCAGATATAGATACAAATGTGCGTCATGTCTTCCAGAGCACGCGACAATTTAAGGAATTGGCCCATGATGGGCTCCTGCTCACGTATTGCATGAATGGCCTGAGGTAACATGCTCGTGAAATCAAGCTGTGTAAAAACCAGCGTCATTAATTACAATGAATATCAGGTGCATGACAAGGCTGTCGGCTTCATTGGTATCGGTAATCGCGCCATGGTGACCCGAAAACAAAAAAGCGCTACATTGAAAATTTAATTAAAGTAATTCAAGAACTCGCAGACAAGAAGGATAAGTTTATTTCCAAAAAGTCTTCAAACTCCAGGGAACCTCACGCTAAACACATTCTCGGAAACTGAACTATGCCGGACTGGAAGTTTCGGGTTGGCTTTCCGAAGGCGATCACCGACTTCCAACGCACCGGAAGGATCGAACCTCTAAAACCTTTTCTCTGGTTACTGTCTTTTTACCGCAGGGCTGTTTTGGGAAAGATAAAGTAACTGCAAACGAATTTCGCGCTTTATCCGATAAGAAAGTCTTTTCCATATCACTGCAAAGACACCGAGGTCGTGGTCGTGTGGCTATTTACATATCTTTGTCAGCAGGGCTGTTCAGTACACCGACAAAGTCGACTTTAGAATGACCTTTCAGAAGATGAAATCAAATCGGAAAACAAACATGGCGTCTATATTGTGCAAAGGAAATGAAGAGTCGAGGACGATTAAAAGAAAGCTGGTTTTATCGTTTTGGCGCTGTTTTATTTTTGTCGCCAATCGTTTGAAGAGAACTGCTTGGGTTTTTTTGAAGGCAAAAGGTTATCAGTACGCATGTGTTATACACAATGAGCTACAATGCCTTTGGTCTTGGCCCATGCTAGAATACAGCGATATTTACATTACTTGCAATACAGTGTTAAAAGAATAAATCTCCCTGCTGGACGGAGCTGTCGGGTATTGCACGTGTACTCCGCAAAGTTCTTTGTTTTCAGAACAAGAATCGAATGTGACCCACGTATCATAGAACAAACTTGCTGGCCAAGAATTCTAATAATTTCATGCTGCTTGATGAAAACATTTCTGATGATGATATATTTATTAATTGTCAGTTTCTTGTGCTGCGGTCAATCCAAGTAGATGATGAGCTTCAGAACTTAACCTATTTCCAATTTTGCCATGGAATAATGTTTACAGCTGTTTACGTTGACTTGCCTCCACATAACTTCAACTCTTTAAGTTAATAAAAGTTAGAAAATGCTTCTATAATCCTTCAAGCTTCCATTCAATATGATTTCTTTTGTTTTAAGCCTCTTATTTAAGCTAAAGGTTTCCCTTAACGGAAATAGGCTAATGGAATCGTTTTTTGTTTCACTGACTGAAACGATTGGGTAGACCACAGAATCAGTGATTTGATCTAAGGCTTTTGTTGTTGAGTATTCTCTCTGAGTGCGACAACACTGTTAACATGAAGCCAGATGTATCTAAAAGGTTACTAATATTAATAAAAACGTTTTCAGCCTGTGTAGTCAATTTCTTTGGACTTCATAGGATTTTGGAAAATGCTTTATACAACAATGTAACTGATTTAGTGTATACTTGTTACAGATTAAACATTACACTTGTGCGTCAGTCAATCCGTTTCCGTAGCTAAAGTATTTTAAAATCAGAACAACACCTGTATATCTGCAAAAAAGTCATGACTGAAACAATTTCTTGGAATTAATTGAGACACGTCACCAACCAAGTTTAGATCGGTGAATAATTGCCATTGTTTTTACAGTTTCAAACTCGACTTTGGAATGCTAAGAAATATTTTTATAACGACCCACCCCATAAACCACTCAAGAGGGAATCTCTTTCTGTTGTGTAAGTTACCTCCCACAAGAACCCACGAGAAAAGCTACAAAAACCTAAACAAATTGAAATCTATTGTTCGTTCGTTCCTCAGTTCCGACCCGCCAAATTTTCAGCGATGAGAGTGAAAGAGAGGAAGAGACAGTTGATCATGATAATTTTAAGATTGGACTGATGATATAATGCTTTTGGACTTACCTATTGTACAAATACCAAGTACATTCTAATCGTTGCCTTAAGAGTGTGTAAGTATAAATAGCTAATCAGTTTTATCGTCCAAGGAAGAAAAATACACAACAGTTAAAACTAAACAATTTACTAAGAAGCCAAACTCCTTTATTCCGATTGCTCATATAAGATCTTATTCGATTTTCTTTTTCTTGTTAATAAACTAGAGCGGAGTGAGGTGAGAAGTCTTTCTGTTAAACAGTCACGTTCTTCTTCTGACATCATACCGGCTGCTGTTATGAAAGAACACTACTTCAAATCAGCGGATCTCTCTGAACCGCCAGAAGCAATTAATTGTAGAACGCTTTGTTAAACAAACTACTTACATCGTAAGGTTATTTTATCATACTGATCTTCCCAGTCACCTAAAAAATGCACCACCTTAAAAGTTTCTTCGCCTTTTTTCGGTGCTTATGGAGTTTAATAACTTCCTCGGTTTTGTTTCGCAAAAGGACAAAAGAATTGAAACTTGCCAATCTAGTCGTATTAGACTGTGTTGGTTTACGGCTGTCTCTGGAAACAAGGTGAAAAGAGCTCAAATCCTTATAGTACATCACATCTGCTCGAACAGCATAAAGAAAGCTTTTAAAACAAGACATGAAAAATTAAGAAGATTCGAGAAAAACCCTACCGAATGAACAATGACGAATGCCATTAACACCTTCATCGGTAATATTGCTTTTTAGGGCAAGAACCTCAATGGACGGCCTCATAGTTAATTTTTCAGTCATACAAAAGATGTGACGTACAGCTATTGTGGAAATTTCTTCGTTGTTGATACGATGACAAAAGTATTTATCAGTGAAATTAACCAAGTTTGTTTTATGTCTGTGGAAATAAACGGGGTTGAGTGTAATTTTTTCCCCCATGCGTATGCACTCCAAACCAATAATGACAGTACATCTTTTGTGTCTTTCCCGTTACTTGCTACTGCACGAAGTTTTTTTTACTGGCACGGCACATTCGGCTTAGTAGACGTAAATATAAATAAAGTGGGTGATTTGTGGAATTCACAATATTTGAATTTTGATTGGTTCGCGGTAAAGAGATCCCGCCTTTGAATACGTAATGCAGCAGTGTAATTGTCCAAGCTTGTCAACGGGAACAAGCGAAGTAATTAGCGCGAACTCTGATCACAAGCACAGCGGGTGAATTTATGTTTTACTGCTTTCCCACTGCTAAGAATTAGTCAAACATTTACGGTGTGAGCTTTCGAGCGAGTTCGACGGCGAATTTAGGCAAGCAGAAGGTAATCAAAGCTCAAACTACGTAGTGCGGCACCGTGTCTGAAGTGGCAAGATTTTGTGTTTAGAGCACAGTTGATTGCGTTTGGAAGATTTATCAACAATGGCCTCTTTCTACGGATTTCTTGTTTTGCTGGCTTGCGTTTCTACTGGTTTTGGTCAAGATAATGATAAGCAACCGTCCTGTACAACAGTGAAGATGGCCTACAGACTAAAAAGACTAGCAGAAAGTGATGTACCTCAAGCGGCGGTAGATGGTGAGCGTGAAAGTGTGCCATACCAACACAGTGTGCTTATAAATATGTGGTCTTTTAGTTGCCAATTCTCAGTGATCTCTACATTTTGTTAATATTCTTTTCTCGGCATGGGGTGGCAGTTAGTGAAGTTTGACTTTAATTCCGATAATATCGCTAACACATTTTCTCTTTACCGTAGGAGATGACCTTCGCGTCTGTCCGAAAGACAACGGCAAGCAGTGCTGCTCGCAGCGAATGGAAGTTCGCTTCGGTTCCTTGGCTGGCAACGATTTCGACAAATCGGCGTCGTCAAAAGTTAGGGAAATCAGAGGTCTTTTCAACGAGCAAGCCAAGACGTTTGACGGTGAGCAATTCTCGACAAAATGTACAAAGTGTTAAAAGAGTGCGGATTAAGTTTGCGAGTGAAAAACCTGTTAATGGGGATTCGTTTGGAATAACTTATTGCTTGGATCGGTTTCCACGCTTTCCCCAATAAGTTCATTTCAAAGAAACTTCGCGCGCGTGTTGAGTCATTTCGGACTCGATTGCATCTGTGGGATTTTCGCCTCTAAGGGAATTTCACAAGGTCATTTTCTTAATATAGGTCGATCGGGTTTGCTCCACAGGAAATTGAACAAAATTCATAAGTAAACATTGATGTGCCTACTTGATGATACTTTGCGTATAAGCCTGAAGCAATAATTGTGTCTCTTCAAATATTCTGTCGCTCCGGTTTTAGTTAATCCCTGAATGCGCCAAACAGAAAGGACGCTAATTTTCGGTTTCTTGTTTCAGTTTCTTGTAGCTATGTGAAAATCGCACGCCTCTAGATTTGAGTCGTGGAAAAAATCGAAGCGTTAGAAGTGATTTGACGCCGTTTAGAAATTATGAAAGTAAATAATGATAACTGAAGGTTCTGTAACTTTATCTTCATATCTCTTCTTTGGAATGTCGGAGAAAACAGGCTTAAAATTTATCAGGTTTGGTGAGTTAATCTCCCACGAAACAAACTCCTCCTTTTTACTCTGATTTCAATACTCCGCGAGCTTGCGAAGATCTTCGGCGTGAAATTTTAAGTACAAAGAGTCCATTTTGAAATGAGTTTGTCAAGAGTGCGTGCTGGGAGCTTTCGGCAAGTGCGAAAATTGTGGTGTTACATTACTCTTCCTCCCTTGACAGATTTCCATCTTCAATTTCAACGTGCAACGCAACGTGCTCATTTGGCCGAACTTTAAAAACGTCAAGCTGGCGTGTGCTGTGTCCGTAGGACAATCAAGGCTAATAATAAACCTTTGCCGTTGTACCTCATGGCACATGTTCGAAGACAAATAATAGAACTGGAACTTTTCGAATACCCCCGTTGGTGGGTCACAAAAATAATCATTCGTATCCCTTTTGCCTTGTAATCCGAAGTTAGTTGTAAATTTAGAATCGACTTTTGTTCGGCACAGTGCGCCATCGCCCGAGGCTATTGGATATTAAGATTAAACCAGAGTGAAATCTATAGTTCTTTTATTGTGGCCTTGATTGTTTTCCTAATTTCGCGGTTTACTCAAGATCAACGAATACGTGAAAGCAAAGCCAAAATATTGTATCTGTGTGAGTGAAGTGCTCACCTCCAAACAGATACTCGTTGTAGATTTATTGGTACCATTTTTACAGACCTAATTTACATGGCATCAGCGCATAAGATATCCTGTTATCAACTGTTTTGAAATATTGAAAAAGAGATCACCAAAAAGTAAGAGTTCTGCTCATATTTTAAATAACTGTTGGAGCCTTAAAAACTAAACGTTGCTAGGATTGGTTTAATGAAATAATACATTTTAGCATTTGTTTTTTTTTTTGGAGAATTTTTGATAAATATTTTTTAATATATTTTTTGTGAGGGAATACCTTGTTTGATATTGACCATCCAAGTTTTTATGTAAAACACGTTATTTTCTAGCTGAGTGCATTTACACGAGTAATACTCCAGGCCCTTCTGCAATATTATTGATTTTGGTATCGTGCTTGATTTCAGCAAGTTTAAAGATTTTCATAGAGCTCTGTAACCATGATTTACGTTCAGTGTAATTTTCAAGACCCTATGCACATTGTAGGGGTGTCTTAGATCGGTTTGTGAACAAACTATGATTACTACTGTAAGGAAATAGCTATCTTCCTTTCTGGGTTTCCTAATACCAGGATGTATAAGAAGGGATTGGTTAGGGTGGAAGACTTCAAATCTGTGCCTGTCTTTTGAGGCCGCCTTTGTATGGAATTGAGATATAATTAGTTTAGAATATTAATGATTATCCTTTTTAATTATCAAATACAAACATGTTGGGAAATTGATGGCAAATGTCACAGTTTTTCTGAGAAAAGGGGCTCCTGATTAAAATGTCATCGCTCAAAGTATGTTAAGTTTAACATTTTGATGTCCTTGAGGCTGATGCCAATAATATTTATTTTGTTGAACCCAACTTTCAGATTCAACCATCCATAAAAGTTACTACACCCTAAAATCTGTCCTAAGTTGTGCTAGGTTACTTCATTTCATGGTACCAGTGGTAAAAATGCCTTCATGTGTTGGGCTTATTTTGTTTGTGTAGAGCAAACATCAAATTGAAAGTACACATGGGTCAAATTATTTAGCCTCGAAATCTTCCCTCGTCATCCTGTCTAGACCACAGGAATGCAAATTTTCCATGGATTTTGAAGTTAATTATGAACTGGCACTGGTTTATTGTATGTGTTTAAAAATATAAATGTTTGGAAAGTATTGAGTCTGAAGGAAAGGGTCCCATTTAATGATTGAATTAAGAATATCTAGTACATACTGTGTTTATTTTAGGATTTCTATGATGGGGTGATATTTTTTTGAAAATTTATAGCTCTTCAGTCAAAGTAGTGTAACGTGTGCAGACGACAACAAATTTTACTCCAACAGTTCAACAGCCTAGGACCTAAACCTACAGCTTACATGTACCAGTACACGGCAAGTCTACTTACACAAAAGCCACTACAATGTAGAAGTCTTGCGTATATGCCCTGCATTACAAGTACATTTCTGCATTAAGTATTGTTAGTATTTTAACCCTCCATTCAACTTGTGTGAGCATTACTTTTAAATATAACTGTCGTACATATTAGCTTGTGCACCTCAGCCCATGCAATCATTACATCTGTTTTGTTACAGTATTATCCAATTTGTTTATTGTGCTACCTCTAGTTTTTTTTAACTGTATGAGACCAGTAACATTGTAATATGCAGATGTTCATGTCAGTATAACATGTTTTGTTCACAAGATAATAGAAATATGAATAGATTAAAGAACTAAATATTGGGGTCGTCAAGAATTGACCAAAAGTTTTTCTTACCAGCTCAAGGAAAGGTATTTGTCGATGAAATAGGGCATGTTCCAGTGGCAAAATGGACAGTCCAATTGCAGTAGTTGTCAGATTTTTATCCAAAACCATTTCTTGGCAACTCAAAATGGGTTTATGGTGTGGGAGTAAGGAAGTTTCCAATGGTTAAGCTGAATATTGTTGATTTTCAGGTACTGTTGAAAAAGTGTACACCCAAATTGAATGCAGAATAAATAAAATTCAACAGACAGAAAATACAGAATGATACAATTATTATACAGTTTTTACCATCCACATCTGGGAGATTCGCATCCCGTCTGAGAGACTCTCGGTCTGTTATATTTGATGGGATGGAGCAAGTAAGATTATCTTAAGTTATTTGCAACATATTTCTAGCTCAGCGGGATTCTAAGAGGAATATTTTCTCACTATATTTTTTGTTTTCTAGTTATGTCAAATATGTCTAAAAGACAAGAAAAAATCTATTGATGACAAAATTTCTATATTTTTAAATGATCTGCAAAGTAAATTTATGGACAGTTTTTTCCCAGCTGGATTGAAAACCACATTAATATTTAACGGTCTGGTTTGGTAGACATAACAGGTGATTTCTGTTGTCTGTTGGCTTGTTGAACCTGTTTACTTTCATCAGGTCTTGTTTAATAGGGGTTACTTCATTTGCTCCAGTGAAAAAATGGAATGATAAATAATTGATTGCGAGAAATTTTAGTGTGAAGCATTGCAGCTGTTTATTGTACGAGTCTTGCTGGAACGCTAAGAGGTTGAAATGTGCAATGTGCATGCATCTTTTGAATAATTCAGTTTTGAAATGCAGAGTTATACATACAATATTTTTGGTTTCTATACCTGTTAATTGCTGTGGTCATTGATTTAAAATGGCTTATTTCGAAATTTGTTTTGACCTCTTGTAAAATCCTTAATAGTGTATATCATTCTATAGGTGATCCACGTCTCCATATTTAGCCATTGAATGGATTTGACTATTCTGCAGTCCCAGCCATAACTCCTACATAGTTGGTGTTTGGTTGAGGTTTAAAGCAGCCTTTGGCTTCACCTCTGAAGTATTTAGGGTAGTAAACAATGTGGCGTCCAGGTTTCTTTCACTTGCTGTTGCTGTGCCATGTTGAGTCCTAATAAGTACAAAACAGTTGTCTGTGGTTTCCACTGCATATATATTTATACAGATGTGCATGTGCATGAGTTATTGACTGATTGTTTAATGTTAAACTGTGGTTGTACTTATTAATAAGTTGAACATTATCCTCATAAAGCAGTCGTCCAAATATGGCAAGTACATATTGAGGTATAAAGAAAACCAATTTTTGTGCTTGCCCTTCAGGCAAGTTGTGACTTTCATCAGATAATGATGTACTAACCTATGATTAATTTTCACTAGCCCCCTAATAATTTCATCTTACAATACAGTATAGTTTCAGTTATTTGAATTTCCTCAAGAATTCCTGAGAAACTTCACTTGCTCATCAGACAGGTGAAGGCCAGAATTAATCCACAATCCCAACTGCAGAATTCTCGAACCCTGGGCTATTGGACAGGATTTTCTTTGCATGCTGCATATGTAGCATGTTTTAGACCCTTTCCCCCCAATAATATTGTATGGGGTAGAGATGAAAACTAATTTAGGATATTTTTTAGTGACCCAAATGAGGACTCGCAAAGCCAAATAATAAATCAAGCCCAAATAGTGTCCTATTTGTAATGAGTAATTTTTGTCCACTGTTGCATAATTATGTTCTTAATTGTTTTTTTTGGTACAGATTACTTTCGTGGATTGATCAAGAAATCCCAGCAAGAGTTACACACAATGTTTGAGAAAATTTATGGTTCCCACTATGTGCAGAACACCAAGATATTCATGGATTTGTTTGTTGAGCTCACAAATTACTACGATGGAGCGACAAGTTCAGATGTTTCAAGTATCATGAATACCTTCTTCAAAAATCTAATGCGTCGCATGTTTGAAATCATGAATGGCCAGTTCCAGTTCACCAGTGCATACCTGGATTGTGTCTCGCGGCACATGGAGAAACTAGCTCCTTTTGGAGATGTGCCTGAAAAGTTGACACCGCAAGTACGAAAAGTATTGATTTATGCAAGAACTTTTACACAAGCTCTTCATGCAGGTAGAGAAGTCATCCACTCACTTGAAAATGCTGTTTCTTCCAATGACTGTAAGAATCAGCTAATCAAGATGAAATACTGCTCATGGTGTAAAGCAATGACATCATTAAAGCCTTGTTTTAAGTTTTGCACTGATGTACACAAAGATTGTCTGGCTGATGTGGCCAAGGTCAACACTCAATGGCAAAGATACATGACAGCATTAAATGAGCTCCTGGAGAAGCAGGCAGGGGCAACCAACATTCATGATGTAATGACACGATTACATCTGAAGATTTCATTTGCCATCATGAACTTCCAAACTGAGAAGTCGGATGATGTGAGAACAAAGGTAAGAGAGTAAAAACTAGCTATTTAATGTCTAGTTTATCATGATTGTTTCAGATTATCTCAAACAGCATATCAAATATACACCAACAGAAGGCTTAAATTTTATTCAATTTTGAAGAATCAAACAAAATGCTCTGATTTAATTACGCAAAATTTAGGGAATCACAGCCTGAAAATTGAAACTGAAAGATTTTGTATTCCAGAAGAAGAAAACTTCCTTTGGCTGCTTTCTGCCTTGTTTGCACTTTACATAACTGTAATGGTGGAAGTCAAGTTTAATGGGAAATTGTCAACAGACAAGTTTCCTCTTCAGTAATATCCACTCATGTTATTTAATCATGGAAAATTTTTTCTTTAGTGGATAAATTTATCAAACTGTCTTTGTGTTGTATATTTGGTTTCTCAGGTATTCCAGTCTAAGGAATGTGGAAGTCCTGGTCGCACGAAGCGATCTACAGATGATTTTTTCCTAGAAGGCAACAGCAGACAAAGAAGAGATGATGAAGCTTTAGCTAGAACGTCTTCACAAGTTAACTTTGATAGGTAAGTGGAAAACAAAATTTCTCCCTATGACATAGGTTCAAAACCCCAGTAAGCAGGGCCCGAGAATTGAGAAAGTGAGCCTGCAGTTTTTTTCACCATGAACCATGTCAAGAACAGAAAGAGGACCTTATTAATACATGGCATTTATTTGAGGACACTGCTATTTATGAGGACTCATATGTTTAAGGGTACATCTCTGTCCAGCTGTGGAAAGAATAATTTGTTACTAGAGTTAACACTAACCCACAGAATGGCAATTAATCTGGTGGATAGAGTTATCTACCCTTTGAATAACTGGCCCTGAGGATTGTTGTCATACTCTGATCATCTTACTTGGGAATCTATGATGTACTTGTATCAGAAAGCCAGGAAGTTGTTATCATGAACTATGATATCTCTTGGGCTTTTTTTTTTAAGTCTTGTCTCCCTGGGTGTTGCTGACATGTACATACACTTTCACTAGTCTTATTACAGGTTACAATTTCCAATATTGTACTGCTGAACGCACATTTTACAGGTTCAATTTGTAATTTTAATATTTCATGAAACTGTTTCTTAACCTAGATTGAGTACAAACTACAAAGCAAAAATGAAGGTGGCAGATAACTTCTGGATTAACCTGCCAGAAAGAATGTGTGGTGACATTTCTGCTAAAGATAAGAACTCAGATTGTTGGAATGGTATTGGCAAAGGAAGGTAAATATTCAGCCAGACTTCATCTGTACCAAAGATTACCTGGCAACTTGAACTAACACCCTATAGGCATTTACATGTACTCCGAAGTGTGTTTGATTATTGTACTGAACGTAGAATTGCACCCTGCTCTGATGTCCCTCAACCCAAAGATAACTCACTTTTAAGGCTGCAGATATTATTTCTGAGCCTTGGACAGACCTCTAATTCATATGTATTGTGTTATAAAGTGTAAAAAGATACATATTAACTAAAAAATTTCAGTTTTATATTTGAAAGCTAACTGTTGCACCTGAAGCCAGGAGATAGGAAAGGGAGGGGGGGTCAGGATCTACAAAATGTGTTAATAATTGATATAGCTGTCACCAAAATAATTGAAGGGGTGAGTGCAAAACCATGCTAAGTGACGATTTGGGTGAAAAAAAAAATTTTCGCGAAAGGGCTTGAATTTTTGCATGTGGTCTTCAATGTAATAGAAAAACGCGGCCCTGTATTTTTGTCGCTGGATTTTGCTTCGTTTTCGAGTTATAACGTATGCAAAAATACTTGGCTTTTCCCAGCCATGTCTTAAGGAGTTTATTTGTTGAACAGCAAACAGGCAGA